CTTGCCAGATATGAGTTTTATCAAAATTATGTGTTACTGGTAATAATACAATGTTGAAAATTCCATGTAATTCATCAGGGGTGGAACGATATGATGATATGGTATAACACTACGATACACACTGACTGCATGATATAGTGAGTGAGTGAGTGAGTATGGTTTTACGCCGCTTTTAGCAATATTCCAGCAATATCACGGTGGGGGACACCAGAAATGGGTTTCAGCATGACATAGCTATTGATAAACACTGCTTCTGACAAGAGAGGAAAAGGACTTTCTCTTCTTATTTGCTGGTTTACGGCTATTTAATAAAAAAAAAAAAAAATTGAAATAAAAATATCATTAGACTTTGGAATTATTGTTCTGATTTTGTAAGCACTAAGAGTTGGTTAGATGATAAATAATAATACATATAATTTCAATTTCTCTTATAACCTGCCATTTTCTGAAATGGGAGAGCGGGTAATAACAATTTTATAGCATTTATAAGGGAACAAAGTCTGCGATACTGGTGAAATTACAAGCACAGTGAGAATGTATAACTTGATTCAGTCAAGCAGGGAAATGATCAGTAATATATAATCATATTCATGATAATCAGAAGTAAATACTCTTGAACTGGAAAGTCTTTCCTCGCTAGTGGTGAATCCATATACCAAGGAATAAAAAGTAAAACATTCAAAGACAATGTACTATAATTGTCAGATGGTCAGAAATGGTCGGTGTAGGACATGATGCTTTTCAAAATAATGTTCCTTCTTTTCGTGAGTGATTGAGTGAGAGAGCGAGCGAGCAAGCAACATTTAACTCCAGATCTACCAATATTCAATGACCAGCAATTGGCTTCGGACTTTGTGGGCAATCATCCATGGCATCATCCCACAATCTGTAAAAGAGTGAGTGAGTGAGTGAGTGAGTTCAGTATAATGCTGCTTTCAGTAGTATTTGACTCAGATTGTGGAGTATCAGGTCGAAGTGAGAGGAAAGATTACAGCCAATCAACCTGAATGTTGCTAAGTAGTGAGTCTTTTTCTTCTCAGATCTGTCACAATTTTTAGCTTTATCTGCAAAGTTTCTTTAAAATAAAATAATACCGAGGGCTGCATTTACAAATCAATGGATCCTACCAGCATCCTTGAATCAGCTCTCTCTCCTCCCTCTACCAGTTGACAACATCACCAACACTAGGATAGACACTTACTGAATTATTTTTCATAATCTGACAGATTTTCTCAAAGTTTCCTTTCAAGTATATGTTTCAACATTTGCTAAGGGACAAAATAGTCATTAGTCAAACGAGTAATCCCCAACAAAAGTTGAGTAGTATATCACAATACATATTGTTACACCCCTAAGAACATGTTGAAAATGACAAGCTCTCCAATGATTGGCTGCTAAGATAACGGTAAACGTCAGCCACGTGATGAAAAGGTTGGGATACTGAATGAATGAAATACTGGGCAAACTCAAGGCAACATCATAAGCTACGGAATAACATCAACAATTCAGAAACGAGAGCAAAACACAAGTAAAAAATCGAACCCAATATAACCATATTCTCATCGAACAAAGATGACAGAAATATTTTTACAAAGGCGTCCAATATTTGAATATTTCACAGGTAACAACAGTATGCGAAAAGCTTAAATATTATGAGTTTTCAAATGAGTAATTATCTAAGCCGCTATACAAATTTAGAAGAAATACCAACTGCTCTATTGTCCAGCATCAAGAACAAAAGCCAAATGGATACAATGGACTCCTGAAAACAGTGTTGCACATATTAGTGCTATCAGACAATTGTTGTAGTAATGTAATGGGGTACTTAGGTTGGTTAGCTGTTGTTTAAGCCCAGCTATATGGCGGCGGTCTGTAAATAATCAAGTCTGGACCAGACAATCCAGTGATCAGCAGCATCAGCATCAATCTACGCAGTTGGGATACGATGACATGTGTCAACCAAGTCAGCGAGCCTGACCACCTGATACCGTTAGTCGCCTCTTATGACAAGCATGGGTTACTGAAGACCAATTCTAAGCTGAAAGAAAACTGAAAGCTGGTAGTGTGAGGAGTTTACGAGACTCTCTCTTGAAATAGTGAGTGACTGTGTGAATGAGTGAGTTAGATTTAATGCTGCTTCCAACTACATTCAGTTATATCATGACAAGTCAGTTGATACGAGAGGAAACGCCAAATTGATCATGTTATAGATGTGAGTGAGTGAGTGAGTATGGTTTTACGCCGCTTTTAGCAATATTCCAGCAATATCGGTGGGGACACCAGAAATGGGCTTCACACATTGTACCCATGTGGGGATCGAACCCGGGTCTTTGGAGTGACAAGCAGACGCTTTAACCACTAGGCTACCCCACCGGCCCTGTTTTAGATGTATTCCACCTTGGTGAAACCCACAAGCAAGGGAGTAGTGATGACAAAACCATAAACATAATCGGGTTAGACTAATGCAACTCTGCACAGTGGCTACTGGGCCACCTGTGTCCCCTTTAGGGTAAGACAGCACACTAGAGCACTAGCACCACAAGGGACAAGAGAGGAAGTAGCTATTATAGACTTGGGCCTGACTCTTCACACATGGAGTGAAGCTGGAGCCTGGGACATGGCTGAAAGGGGTCACATGGTACACATGGAATCCCACTCAAACAAATCACATGGTACAACCAAGAAATTTGAGTGAGTGAGTGAGTTGGGTTTTATGCCGCTTTTAGCAATATTCTAGTAATATCACGGCAGGGGACACCATTAATGGACTTCACACATTGTTTCCATGTGGGGAATCGAACATCGGTCTTCAGTGTGACGAGCGAACGCTTTAACCAGTAGGCTACCCCACCGCTCCTCAAGGAATTTAATTGTTCTGTGGTAACCAAAAGAAATGTGTGGAATGGGGTAAATGTCTGATCTTCTATATCTCTAAAGAACTCATGCATGTATCGTGACATGGTGGGAAATACTATGGTACAGGAGTCCATTGTACAGCAACTCAAGGGGATAACCAGATGAAGTCTTCAAAATCTGTAAAATGGGTACAAAGTTAATGAGCAAATTAAAGACACTGTACACTAAGATTACCCCTAATGATGAAATAATACTGACATCACATGACAGTCATGTGACAATCTTTGGTAAAGTACTGATAGAGAACTAGTCTATCTGAATCTGTATTGAAAAACAGTACATCAAATGTTCTGGCACTAAAGATTATATATACATTTTCAAAGATAAATATAATTTGAAGGAGGCTTCTATTTTCAGTCTGAATGTGAAAATACTGATGAAATTGACTAAATCATTCAAATAGATCCAAATGATGATTTTTATAAAATGGAAAGTATAATATCGGCTGCTCCTAAAATTCATCATCATGAAATATCTATGCAGCCAAATCCAAACATGACTGAGCCTCATGTTAAGCTAAGAAAATACTGTTTGTGTAATGACAGCTACAGTGACTTGTCAAGCACACAAATTGAATTTCTGATATAACTTGAATTAAAGATGCTGGGACTATGATTCTGAGCCTTGTCCAGCTTTACTTAAGAATACTTTAGTTTCAGAGTGAGTGAGTTTAGTTTTACATTGCTTTTAGCCATACTCCAGAAATATCATGGCAGGGGACACTAGAAATGGGCTTCACACATTGTACCCATGTGAGGAATCCAACCCGGGTCTTCAGTGAGACGGGTGAACGCTTTAACCACTAGGCTACCTCACCGTCATTTTTAGTTTCAGAGATGTAATTTAATTGCGTAGATACTCATTAACAAACTACATTATCCTGTTGTTAAACCATATCTAACTGTAGTGGACATTTTGTTAAAAATGATCAAAATGACATGCCCAGAAATTATACATAGTATTCTGACAAAATTGACAATACAGACAGGAGCTGAAAAGTTCACATGATATATTAATATCTATCAAAAAGATATTTTATTATTATTAGAAAAGACAGGAAAATATTCTCCCATGCCTTTGCTGACAACACTTGTTACTGTTACTAAGAGTCACTTCGTGTAATGTATGGAGCTGGCTTTTATGCCAGTTGAAGCAATACTCTGGCAATATCACAGATGTGTGCACCAGCAAATGGTGTCACAAACTGCACCCAAGTGGAGAATCAAACCTGGGTCTTCGGCGGGACAGGTAAATGCTTTACCCACTAACAACATGAAAAGAAGAGTATTTCACACAACATACAAAGGCAACACAAGAATGCTGATCTCCCCTCGGTACATTAGTGTAGTTGCAATACAAGCACTGACACCTTGTCAATCCATCGCTAATCAACAATTCAGGTTTGGAGAATGTTAAAGCAATTAGTGCAAATTTTCCTTGAAATGTTAGTTTGCTAAATAAATGATATGTCCTTTGACAACTGATAATTTCCAAACCTAAAAATAGCATGTTCAGGTGTAGTTTGTCCAAATTCTTTTAAATCTTACTGAACATTTTTGAAGCATTCATACAGTACAAGAAACAAGGGCAGCGAAGTCCACATTCAGATTCAGTAAAAATAAAACAGTAAATATGTCAACATGTACACATATTTCTATATGCAAAACAGTGCACAAGCTATCTGAACATGTACACATATTTCCACAGCTATCTGATCAACATGCACATGTCCACAGCTATCTGATCACATGTACATCTGATGTCCACAGCTATCTGATCACAACATGTGCACATGTCCACAGGCTTCTGATCACAACATGCACACAGCTATCTGATCACAACATGTGCACATGTCCACAGGCATCTGATCACAACATGTGCACATGTCCACAGGCATCTGATCACAACATGTGCACATGTCCACAGGCATCTGATCACAACATGTGCACATGTCCACACCTATCTGATCACATGTGCACATGTCCACAGGCATCTGTCCAACAGGCTGTCTGATCACAACATGTGCACCATCACGGGCTTCTGATCACAACATGTGCACATGTCTGATCACAACAGCACATGTCCACATCTGATCACAACATGTGCACGTCCACAGGCATCTGATCACAACATGTGCATCACACAGACATCTGATCACAACATGTTCACAGGCATCTGATCACAACATGTACACATATCTGATCACAAAATGTGCATGATAAGCAATAAATGAGACTTTTACAACATCGTTAGCACTGAGAAACAAACTGGAAGAATTTAGAGCCTCATCCCTCAAGTTTTGTCAGTGACAGTGGTAATTCTAATACTTTAGCTTATGACAGCCGTAACTCTCATACTTAAGCCTAGATTTATGCCACTAGTGATTCTCATACTGCAGCACAGACTAATGACTGTCCCTTGAGAATGCTTCGTTTCTTATACAAGATATGCTGCTACAATATTTAAAACAATAAGCATTTGGAGTATTAACTGATAAAATGTGCTAGAAGCCTATCAGAGCTCACACATATGAATGGTAGGATCATAAATAGTGAATATTCCTATTGCTTTCTGCTTGGAGTGAAAACGATGTTCATGAATAAGGTTTTACTACACTGTGTCAACAATGTACATGGGCGGATCCAGGAATTTTGAAGGGGGGGTCGGGGGGGTCAGGGGTTTCAAACCCACTGAACCCCCCATTGGCTCTGCCAACGCAAAAAAAAAATCTTCAATGTGGTCTTAAGTCATTTTCAAAAAGGGGTGTGTGTGTGTGTTTCGAACCCCCCTCTGGATCCGCCAATGATGTAAATGCAGGAGAAAAAAATACTGTTATAGATACAACTACTTTTTATGAAACACAGGTAGATCATCTGTTTGATTGGCATTATAGAAGTTGGGGATTAATAAAAATGTAAAGATACTTTATGGATAACAACTTCTTTGTTATATATGATTGTTTGACAACAGTATAAGAATCAATACCGAAACGTCGCATCACATATAATAAAGAAGTTGTTATCCATAAAGTATCTAACTTTCGTACAGGTAGATCACCTAAGAGGAAACTGTTCTGTCTGCTGTGTTTATCATGAAGTAAGGACAAGTTTGTGTGGAGACAGAAGTTTTAACAGAGAAACAGATTCATTCTTATCTAGATTGTAAAAAAAACAGTGATAAGAAAGAACAGGTAACTCACAAATAACCATACATAATATTTTCCTACTCACTACTTATCACAAACATACAAGTAAAACTGTAAAAAAATTAAACATTCATGTAAACCACATCAACAGAAAATTGTACATCAATACATCATACAAAAAACTGAATTTAGACAATTATTTTGCACAAAGTCAGTTATTATTCTTGGTTGGTTGCAATTTCTAACATTTCCTTCTTCACTTTCAACCAACAGTTACACTGATGGGCAAATGATCATTTCTGAAGAACCTTCACTTCTCAGTGGAAATGGAATGACATTCTCTAATGGCAATGTTCTCACTGTTTGTTCTCAGCTAATGTACTATTACCACGAGAAGATCACAGAAACAAACAATATTGTTTGAAATGAAGAAACAGTACTGACACAACTGAAATACATTACGGAGATGTTTATGGCGCCAATTTAAAACACATGGATTTAGAATTATAGCTGACTGTACATATTTTGATTTCATCAAAACTCGGCCAGATTCTGATCTGTTAATATAGTTAGGGGAACATCTCCAGGTGATCTATGAACTCTTCAGTATTGAAGTCTGAATCGTCGGCAAGCCTTGACCTTCACCCTGGTTCAGAGTATGGATTAGTTAGTTTCAACCACAAATGAAAGCACTACTGACCAGGCGTATCTATCACACAGACGTACAACTCAAATATCCACCCAGCATGCTAGTAGGTGTCTGCATTGTCCGAGGAGTTGCGTTGCATTGCATGGTTTGTTTTGTGCCGTTTGCTGGCCACGTGCTGTGCAAACTGACTCTCCACATTCAAGGTGACATTACAACACGAACAGTAGAATTTTCCACTTGGTGTGCGGTAATTTGAGAAGTCTTGACGGGGACGCTTTGGTCCCGATGGCTGAAAACTCCTTGCACTGTCTTCACATCCTTGCCAGTTGCCTCCCCTGCCAAATGGCCTCTTGAACGCTGAAAAAGTAAGTTTCAATTGCACTGCCCAATGCTCTGATATTCAGCCATATATTTTATTTTGGTTGCTTTTTGATTACCTTTCCCTTTTATTGAACAAAACACTGTAAAGCTTCATAAACATATAAACATTAATAAACCCTGGATAACCCAAGCTGCCTGTGAGGTGCTAGAAGGTTAATAGTCAAAAGGCATCCCACCGGGTTCCCATTTTCTGCTTGGTGAACAGAGGCAATTTTGAACAAACTCACTTGCCTAAGGTGAGACCACATGTATCACATGTGCTTTGTTGTGGGGGCAGGACTGAAGTCCTAGAAACTCTCAGGAGTCAAGCGGACACACACGGTCACCCATTCAAGCACTTTACATGCTTAACGTTGCTTAACTTCAACTGATTCGTGACCTGAGCTCTATGCACAGGACCACACACCACCAATTAAACAAGATAGATGATGACATACCCCCACCTCCTCGTTCCCCCGTGTTGGAGAATTCCATCCCCCTGCCCCTCCCACCACCACCACTCCAGTCTCCAGCCGTCCACCGCCCCCTCGGTGCACCCCCTGTCCGTTGCTGTAGGCGAAGCTTGTGTTTGTGTTTGGCCCCATTTAGGTGCATGTTGAGCTGATCCTGTGACGTGACATGGACAGAGCACATCACACACTCAAATTGTGTACCCTCACTGAAACAAACAACATCAGGGTTGTAAAACATGTAAACATAAACCAACGCAACCAATATAGTGAGTGAGTGAGTATGGTTTTACGCTGCCTTTAGCAAAATTCTAGCAGCATACTCAAACAGAGAGGGATTCGAGAAATGGGCTTCACACATTGTTCCTATTGGAGAATCAAACCCAGGCCTTCTGTGTGACAAGTGGATGCTTTAACCATTAGGCTACCCCACTGGCCCAATTTAACCAATTTAAGGGCTGAAATTGTTAAAGATAATAACTTTGAATTTTTGGTAACATTTCACGCCAACTTTTCTAGAAATTTGATTCTTGTTTAATGCCACACTGAGCAATATTCCAGCTATATGATGGCAGTTGACTCCACCACAGAGTGAGTGAGTGAGTGAGTGAGTGAGTGTGAGTGAGTGAGTGAGTATATGATGGAGTGAGTGAGTGAGTGAGTGAGTGAGTGAGTGAGTGATGCCACACTGAGCAATATTCCAGTTATATGATGGCAGTTGACTCCACCACACAGTGAGTGTGTGATTGAGTGAGTGTGTGGTTGAATGAGTGTGTGTGATTGAGTGAGTGAGTGTGTGATTGAGTGAGTGTGTGGTTGATTGAGTGTGTGTGATTGAGTGAGTGAGTGTGTGATTGAGTGAGTGAGTGTGTGATTGAGTGAGTGTGATTGAGTGTGTGATTGATTGAGTGAGTGAGTGTGATTGAGTGAGTGAGTGAGTGAGTGTGATTGAGTGAGTGAGTGTGATTAAGAGTGAGTGAGTGAGTGAGTGAGTGTGTGATTGAGTGCGTGAGTGTGTGATTGAGTGCGTGAGTGAGTGTGTGATTGAGTGCGTGAGTGAGTGTGTGATTAAGAGAGTGAGTGAGTTAGTGAGTTTAGTGTTACGCCACTTTTAGCAATATTCCAGCAATAACACGGCGTGGGACACCAGAAATGAGCTTCACACATTGTACCCCTGTTGGGAATTGAACCAAGGTCTTCAGCATGATGAGAGAACGCTTTAATCACGAGGCTATCCCACCGCCCCAACACTACCACAGAAACCAGTGCTTGACATGGGCATGATGAGCATCAATCTACACAAGTGGGATACCATGACATGTTTCAACAAAGTCAGCAAGTCTGACCACCACAATCCTCTTAGTTCCCTGTTTCATCAAGCATGCCATGATGGTAACTGGAAACCCGAAAATAAGAGCAGTTATGGTGCCTACCCCTTGACAACTGTGTCGCTAGGCATGGAGATAGTGGTTGCTGAGGCAAGTCTCACTTTCTTGGCATGATTCTTGCCTTGATAATGCTGGGTTGACTGCTTCACGGAGGTGAAGGACACGTCACAGATCTTGCAATACACTTCCTCATCCAGGGGCGTACTTTCACTCTTCTGTAGACAGGGACAGGAATTACACACACATTTAACATAAAAGGAAACAATCACCTTGAACGCTGCTTCTAACAGTATTCTTGTTATATCACTATGTGTATGTAGTAGAGGACATGTATCAGATCCTGGGACAGCAAAGGGAAGTAACTCTCAAAAGCAGATGGCAGTACCCCTTGCATTCCTCATTTCACTCAACAAAAAGTAACATATGAGTAAGGATATATACACAAGATATTATAAAAAAAAGTATCAAAACTATTCAGGTGTTCATTTAAAGCCTACAGTCAATTTTATTAATATTTCATTGATATTTTTAATGTACTACAGGCAACATACCACCTGAAAACACACAAGCAACATAATCTCTTTATTGTATAAACAGCAATCCCAAATTTGGTCATTGGAAAAATATTATTCGAATGTGTCCCAAATGGTATCTAAACCTTTCAAGTTTTCCTGGAATGTGTGCATTAATATATCATGTCACAACAGGCTGTGTCAAAAGCTTGTTTGTTATATGCTTGGTATCACAAACTATTGTTAACATACTGATAACAATTATCTTAGTAACTTCTCCAGATCCATCATCCATGTAGTTTATTTCTCACTGGATTACAGATAGACAAGGGGGATGTTGTCTTGAAAACACTGAAAATACTACATGACCTGTAATATTTGCATATTTATCCATACCTGACCCTGACTGATACTGTTCGTATCTATCTGCATGGCCTTTCTGAGAAATACCTTATACTGAAATAGGTTTTCTTTCCATTTATTTTGGAAGTTCACAGCAGATAATAAAGCAATAAAAGTTTCATTCTCAGGTCTGACATTTGTATCATAATATGATAATATGGAGTATCATGTTGTATCGATAACAGAAAATGTTGTTTGATAACTTCCTTGATTTCTCTTCATTGCTTCCGTACCGTCATCTATTATTTCAAACAATTCAAACCAGACACCAGCAACACAGGTAGGTCAAGTGATGCACACATTATTCATGCAATCATTCAACACCATTCAATGCCATTCAACACCATTCAATGCCATTCAACGCCATTCAAGCTTGCAATCCCAATGTTAAGGTACAGTGAATGTTTCAAGGTGACAACAAAAATCTGCTGTATACAACATACTACTAGTATTTACATCAGGCCTACTCTGTCCTGTAATATGAAACGCTGAGTTAACCATAGCTACTAAATTACTGATGCAGTGATAATCAATATCCACTGACTCATAGTCATAAACAACAACTTATACATAACTTAGCCGGCCAGAATATATAAAGGTGTGTATTATAACTTCTTGGTCTATTGTAAACCTGATAATATGGTCGATAAACACCAAGTAGTGAATAACAGACACAAGCAGGAAGTATTCCCATAGACTGGATTTTGGCGATATGGCAACAACAGCATATGAAACATTCACAGCAATGTATTTCACATATTGGTTTAATTGTTGCTTAAAACTGCATTCAACAACATTTCAGGTATGTGAAAGCAGTTTGTCAACAGTCGAGTCTGGAATAGACAATTCAGTGATCGACATCATGAGCATAGACCTGCACAAGTGGGATATGATGACATGTCAACGAGCCTGACCAATCGATCCTGTCAGTCACCTCTAACAAAAAATCATGAGTTGCTGATGATCAGTTCTAACAGAGATTTTCACAGGTTTCCCATATTGGTACTCGGTAAATAAGAGTCTCCTGCCAACCTAACTGACATGAAGGATATGGCTGTTTTTGTGGCCATGCCATTTTGGTCATTTTCCTAATCCACACACAGTTTAATACCAGTTTGTTGTTTAACGCTGCACACAGCAATATTCCAGCTATATCGCGATGGTCTGTAAATAACCGAGTCTGGACCAGACAATCCGCTGATCAACAGCATGAGCATCGATCTATAAAAAATGGGAACCGATGACATGTGTCAACCAAGTCAGCGAGCCTGACCACCTGATCACATTAGTCACCTCTTACGACAAGCATGGGTTGCTGAAGGCCAATTCTAACCCGGGTATTTCCTTATCAGAGCCAGCAATCCAGGCAATGCTAAGACAATGCACTCTAGATAGTACTGTCCAAAGTTCTAGTTTCCAAACCGTCTTGTGTTTTCAGATGATGGAGAGAATTATGAGCATGTTTAGAAGAGTTGGGGCACAATACATAACGGGCATCACATGACGTATGGAATTTGATAATGTAATATGTGAACTCCACTTAACTATTTCCCCCTACGATATCTTTCAGTGTCATCAAAACCTTTCTGCCTAACGCTCAGACATCCCCCAATTTTATTAAAATATCAACCTCTTTCTCCTTATCCTTGCCACCAGCAGGACTGTCTGACGTTCCAGTCGCTGTGCCCCCTGCTGACGTATCGGACGTTGTTGCTGACGTTGAGGAGGATGCGAGAAACATTCGCAGCTTCTTGGCATGGTTCTTTCCCTCGTAATGCTGCTGGGCCTGAGACGTGGCATTCAGGTTGACGCTGCACAGTCTGAAACAAACATGGAGTGATGACCTTGGCATTGACCACAGGGTCATCAGAACAACCAGGGAATTATCTACATTTGCTCACAGCTTCTTTCAGTGGCATTTTAGAAGCTGGGAAGTACAATATATGATTACACAATGCCATAGATGACAATACAGACAAACTTTAATGCTTTCCTGCTTGACAACAGTACAAGAATCTGTATCGAAATGTCTCACTCATGAAATAAAGAAGTTGTTATCCATAAAGTTTGTCTACATTGTACTTGCTCACAGGCCGATATTCGGCTCCAAATCTGCAGCAAATGTCAGGAAATATTCCCAGTTTAGACATGAATAATTCCCAGTTGCTAAACAGTCATAATAACTTATGTTCATGTGATGGTTTGGTCAAGGTGATTTGTATTTCATTGGTAAGAGGACCAGTAAAGTAAAGGCATGTAAAGCAACAATGTCCCCCACCGCTAAAGAAGAATGAAATATAACATATTTACTAGTTTTTATCTTTTGGTCACAAAGAAGATTACCTTTTGTGTGATGTTGCTTTTAGTCATGGTCACTTCTCAGAATGTTCTCCTAACTAATATTTCAGGAATATAGTAGATTTGAATGTATATGTCAGGGTAGAGATTGCGATCTGGTAGAATCTGAGATTGTGATCGGAGTCTCTACCAGTAGAGATTGCAATCGGAGTCTCTACTGGTAGAATCTCCGATCCTACTAGTAGAGATTGCAATTGGAGTCTCTACTGGTACGATCGGAGATTCTACCATTACCATTTCCAATTCAAATGGTAGAAACTCTGATTGATCTGTGGCAAACAACAAAGATGACAACAATTGTACAAATTTATGGAGAGATGGAGAAGTGTAATAATACTTTGGGAGCAGGGCCTGACGAAGATTATTATAAAAATTACATTCTAAGCAGAAGTGACATATAGATGGAGATGCACATATTCACTGTCAGTATCAGTGTGTATTAGGAATGGGATGGGTCCACATTTTACCCTACCCTACCCTGACTTCAAATTTGTAAGAAATGGCAAAATATTTTTCAGCTCAGAGGCTAAAATTTCTGAATATCTTTACCATGTATTATATTCAAAACAGGTGACTTTAAATTATGTCTAAATCTTCAAAGCCCATACAACCTTTTACTCATGAAAGATCATAATGGGTCCGGGTATTGCGATGTGAGATTTTGAAAAGTGTCACGTGACCTTGAAAATAAGGTCAAGGTCACCCTGAAAAAAAAACCCTATTGTCTGCATAATCCCCAATGAAGGCTGTCAACATAATTAAAGACATTGGGTGCAAGGTTTTAAGACATATCGCATTTACGCAAGTTTGAAAAGTGGTCAAAATGTCCACCAGTCGATTTTGGTGACCTTGACTTTGTTTTCAAGGTCACCCAAATCGACCCATGTCTGCACAATCCCACAATGTAGGCTGTCACCAAATTTGAAGACATTGGGCGCTTGAGATATCGCATTAACAAGATTTAGAAAAGTGGTCAAACTGTCGTGGTGACCTGAAAAATTATGTCAAGGTCACCCGAATCGACTGGTGTCTCTGTAATTCCCAATGTAGGCTGTCACCAAATTTGAAGACATTAAGTAAAATAGTTCATGAGATATCGTGTTAACAAGAGTTAGAAAAGTGGTAAAAGTGTCGTGGTGACCTTGAAAATAAGGTCAAGGTCACCTGAATCGACTGGTGTCTGTGTAATCCCCCAATCTAGGCTGTCACCAAATTTGAAGACATTGGGTGCGATACTTCAGGAGATATCATGTTAACAAGAAACGGGACGTACAGACGTACGGACGGACGCTACTGAAGACATAGTCCCCGTTCCATGTTGCGGGGGACAAAAAAAAGTCAATCTGGTACAACATAACATGTTTTCTATTTTGGTTCCTTGGTAGTGAGTTATCACTGAAATTAACTGGTTAAAACCATTTGCCGTTTTTCAATGTTCAGTGAAAGTAAATCATATCACACTATGAATCCTTACTTCAGCATGATAGTTTTTTATTTTAAAAAACCAAACAGAAAAAAGACCCACTGGTACCACTTTCTTGTTTTCTCTGACTGACTGACTGACTGACTGAGTTTGGTTTTACGCCGCTTTTAGCAATATTCCAGCAACATAATGGCGGGGGACACCAGAAATGGGCTTCACACATTGTACCCATGTGGGGATTCGAACCCAGGTCCTCGGCGTGACAAGCCAACGCTTTAACCACTAGGCTACCCCACCGCCCCTTTTTCTCTGATATTACCATACGTAGTAACTAGTGATGAGTAAACCTTCGCAGAAGAGTAACATCTCAGGGTTGAGAGAGGGGCTACATCATTTGTAATGTGTTTTTTATATATATTTTTTGGAGGAGGAAGAGGGGGGGCAGCTTGGTCGGTAGGATCCTCTGATCAATCATCAAACACCACCAATATTAATACACACTATCAGGTCTCTGGGGTAATAAACTGGTGGGAGCCAAGTGCTCTTGTTGAAACTTTATGTTATTTAATACAGCGGCTCACCATGACAACATGATAAACATTACTAAGAGTAAACAACATTGTAAATTTAACCAATCCTAAGAAAACATACAGGTTTGCAGATAACAGCTTCTGGTTTATTGCATTTGAGACGTTTCAAAGTAGATCCTTACACCATTACAGAGATGGAATGGGTGTAACAAAATGAGGATTAACATTTACGGCAGTTAACATTTATATGCAACTGATACCACCAGCACACAGAGAGTGGACAACAAATAGCAAACAGATAACTGGATAAGGTCATGTACAGAGAGGATTACGGTGTAGTTACAATCTTGACTGGATACCAATCAAACATGTATGTAAAGGAGTATTTTGCTCAATATGATCGAGGCATAAGCCTATATAACCATGGCAACGACATGTAAATATATCACTGTATATTATTGGTGATTCAATTGGCATGTTATCTGAAAATGTTACAATGGTAAATGAATGAAACGGAGCTGCAAGATCAAGTGAGTGAGTGAGTTGGGTTTTACGTTGCTTTTAGCAATATTCTAGCAATATCATGGCGGGAGACACCAGAAATGAGCTTCACACAATGTTCCCATGTGGGGCATTGAACCCGGGTCTTCAGCAGGACGAGTGAACACTTTAACCACTGGGCTACCCCACTGCCTCTGCAGGATCAAGAGAATTAATGTGATGTTTTAACATGTTTAACTCTTGGTCAACACTATGAGTGAGATGGTCAGTGTTGACTTCAACAATATGTCAGGTTCCATGACAGTGTCAACTTGACATGTGTTTAAAGAGTTAACTGGGAAGATGAATGAGACACAGGCCGCAGAACTATCATGACCACTTTGATGGAAGCAGCCAAGATTGCAGTAACACAATGAAGTATGGTGATGAAAACCAAGCTTCTTCACCAGACTGGAAGATGGGACTCGGTTATTTCGAAAAGCTGTCTATAACAGGAAATCACTAGGCAAAGTACTTAAAGGTTTGATTTACTTGCAAAGCCTGAAAACATTACCTTGACTATTGCACCCTACAATATATAACACTTACATCTCTGTCAGTATACCATTTGGATCAATAGCTATCCATGTTAACTAAATTCTTGCATATACCAACAGGCCCATTCATGAATTATTTTGTAATTTGTGAAGAGGCTCCACACTATTAACTCACTAACTGTAAAATGCTACAAAGCTGCACACTGTCAATACAAAGCGATAGCTTACCGGTAATCTGCGCTACAAAGTGTCCACTCACTAAATTGTAATGTGCCACACACTGTGAACTCTGTAAACTTTGATATGCTACAAAGCTACACACTGTGAACTCTGTAAACTTTGATATGCTACAAAGCTACACACTGTAAACCCTGTAAACTTTGATATGCTACAAAGCTACACATTGTGAACTCTGTAAACTTTGATATGCTACAAAGCTACACACTGTAAACTCTGTAAACTTTGATATGCTACAAAGCTACACATTGTTAACTCTGTCAACTTTGATATGCTACAAAACTACACATTGTAAACTCTGTAAACTTTGATATGCTACAAAGCTACACATTGTGAACTCTGTAAACTTTGATATGCTACAAAGCTACACATTGTGAACTCTGTAAACTTTGATATGCTACAAAGCTACACACTGTGAACTCTGTAAACTTTGATATGCTACAAAGCTACACATTGTGAACTCTGTAAACTTTGATATGCTACAAAGCTACACACTGTGAACTCTGTAAACTTTGATATGCTACAAAGCTACACACTGTGAACTCTGTAAACTTTGATATGTTACAAAGCTACACACTGTGAACTCTGTAAACTTTGATATGCTACAAAGCTACACATTGTGAACTCTGTAAACTTTGATATGCTACAAAGCTACACATTGTGAACTCTGTAAACTTTGATATGCTACAAAGCTACACATTGTGAACTCTGTAAACTTTGATATGCTACAAAGCTACACATTGTGAACTCTGTAAACTTTGATATGCTACAAAGCTACACATTGTGAACTCTGTAAACTTTGATATGCTACAAAGCTACACACTGTGAACTCTGTAAACTTTGATATGCTACAAAGCTACACACTGTGAACTCTGTAAACTTTGATATGCTACAAAGCTACACATTGTGAACTCTGTAAACTTTGATATGTTACAAAGCTACACACTGTAAACTCTGATATGCTACAAAGCTACACACTGTGAACTCTGTAAACTTTGATATGCTACAAAGCTACACATTGTGAACTCTGTAAACTTTGATATGCTACAAAGCTACACACTGTGAACTCTCTAAACTGTAATTTGCTACAAAGCTACACACTGTAAACTCTCTAAACAGTATTTTGCTAAAAAACTACATACTGTCACCCTCATTGAAATGCAACTGCCATGTGCTATAAACCTATGCACTATCAACTAAATACAAAGAAATCTGCTACAAAGCTACACACTGACCTATAATGTGCCATAAATTAAATTTGTTTGACACATAACACTGTCTCAAAGGTTTCGAATCTGAATCTCTGATTTTCGCTTGTGTTTTCTATATTTTGTCCAAAAGGTAAACAAGGAAAGGACTCCTGCCCCATGACAGTTTCAGCTGTGTTGAGAATACAAATACCAACCGACATCCTCAGAATGTAAAATGCTACAAATGTTTATACTGTAAACTAATCATGTGACACTAAACTACACACTCACATTCTAAAGTGTCAAGTCGCTTACCTGCAATAAAGAGGCTGCATGAGATCCCGTAATTTGGCCTCCACCTCTGGATTCAGAATCTGATCTCCGACACCTGTCACTGCCGATGTTGGAATCACATACGTTGATGCAGTAGTACCCAGTAGGTCTGACACTGTCTTTCCAGCAACCTCAACCTCAGCCGGCCCCATATCATCACCTGACACAACAGGTTGCTGTTCTTCTTTCACAAACTTAGGAACATTTTCCTTTCCCACTGGCAGGATTGATTTGGGCTTCAAATCAGAATACTTTGCCATAACTTCCTCAGAGTTCTGTTGAATATTCTTCTCCCGGGTCTGAGAATGGGAATATCCTCCATGGCTGCTCACACACACCTGGTTCACCAATCTCCCTCCTCTATTCCCACGACCACCGAATACTCTGGGCGGTTCAGACTGACCTTGACCTTGCGAAAACGAGGCACTGAATCCTGATCCCCCTCTTCCTCCTCGTGTTGGACCCTGACCACGTGTTGAATACTGGTCCATACTGGATCTCCCTCGCACAGTTCTGTCATATGACTGACCCCTACCTGTAGTGTCAGGGAAACGGGAAGGTGTGTTATTGCTCCCGTAATTCCCTGTTCTTTGTGTATGTTGCACATGGGATGGAGGCGGAGGAGGAGGGGGCTGTGTGTCAAACTTGTAACTGGAGTAATCTCCCCGTGCTACTCGGTGGGCCATTTTGTTTCCTCTGGTTGAACTGGTTCTGTCCAAACTGGTTCCCATATTGACCCCCGTTCTGTCCATAATTATTACTTATGCCAGAATTCTGACTATAGGCAGAGCCAGAAACAGAATTAGAAGCAACAGATGTCTGATAACTGCCTGAATTTTGATAGCTACTTGTCTGTCCATATGCAGCGTTGCCATTATATCCAGCAGACTTCTGTCCCTGACTGAACCCAGGGTTTGTAGTACTACTCTGTCCATAGCTGCTAACACTATTCTGGTTAAAGTCCTTGGTGGCTGGTGAATATGAGCTGTAACTCCCAGCAGTCTGTGAGTACCTTGCTGAGTTATCTGCAGGGAAGCTGTTCTGTGTGAAACTGGGACTATATGCAGAACCTGAAGACTCAGTCCCATTACTCACATACTGCCCATAGCTACTGCCTGTAGTTGAGCTCTGTCCATATTGGTTATCATTAGCATTTTGAGCACTATATTGACCAGTGAACTGGTTGTTATTTTGATTATATCCCGGTGTGTACTGAGTACTTGAGTTGAAATCACTGTTCTGTCCATAACTTTGGTACTGACTGTTTTGGTCATATGATTGTCCATACTGGTTGTTGTTACACTGTTCTTGGTACTGAGTCCCCTGTGTGTAGCCCTGCTGGTTGTAGTCATAGTTCTGGTTGTACTGGAAGCTGTCATAGTAACCTACAATGCAAGCAGTAAACATCTGATATACAGCAGCCTCCATGATGTAACATATGTTATATTTGGGATTACACTTTCTTATAAAGTATAGATTCTAGTACTTTTGTTGGGTTGAGTCCCATCTGGGATTCGAACCCACACCCTCAGAGTCAGACACCTATCCCGCTTAGCTACAGCAGCTTCCACAATGACAGCCAGGACTAGCCAGCAAATGTTGACATGGTCAAATGACATGATGTCTTAAGAGAAAAATGTAATTTTTCAAGTAAAATTGATATTTTTATACTTATCCTGACTCATGATCTTTTGCTTATCTCCCTTTTCTTTATGAATGGTAGTGGAACATTTGAATCCCTTGAAGTTCCCGAAGCGGATGTAAAAATACACTCACCCACGAGTTACCTCCCTTTGCCCGCGTAAACAGTCATGTGACCAGCCTTACTTGTCACTCTCTCCTGATTTTTCTGCCCAGGCACTTGAATCTGCTGTGCAACCCAAAGTGTTTCCAGAGGGGAGGTTGGGAGGGCTTGACCTCATGAGTCAGGATAAGTATAAAAATATCAATTTTATTTTAAAAATTACGTATATTTTCTTATCCTGACTCATGATCTTTTGCTTATAGAATCCTGCGGATTGGTGGTTGGTCAGGCCACTTCCTTGATTCATCAGCTGTCCTTAGATACGTCCTGTATCCCCCCCATGGGAACTGCGAAATGGCATTTCCTTGATCCTATTCTTCCAACTTCTGTTATAACTTGGGGGGACCACTTTCTTGTCTTACTTCAGTCCCAGACAAGTTGAATCATGTTGATTCATGTGGCTTCAGATAAACTAGTATCTTCTTATTACTAGACATCTTATAACAACCCATAGATTATGATAAGATCTTTATCATAAATGAGTTGCGACCCCTTCACGTACAGGTAAGATCTTTACCCGTACAGGATCTTTAATCACTCATGCTAGCCTGTCCTAGACTGTGCGCATGGACTTTCAAACTAATGCTTTTCCTTAGTAAAAGTTATCAACAAGTCAACGTGATAAAGGGTGAGATTTTCCAACTCAGCGCCTTTGAGGAACCGTCAGTTGCTGTGCTACAACGAGAGGCCCAAATTGGTGAATGCCTGAGACGTCTTCAGTGGCTATGTCTCGGAGGTAGTGGTTGGCAAACACTGTGTCCGACTTCCAAAAGCAGCCCTCCATAATTGCTGGTATAGAGCAATTTCCGTGCAGAGCCTGTGTTGACGCCAGTGCTCTGACTTCGTGTGGGTTGGAAGCTCTAGGAGGTTCTAGTCCTGCTGCTTTATAGGCTCTCAATATGACGGCTCTCATCCAGAACGATATCATCGTTCTTGAGACTTCTGCTGATGTCTCTGTTGATAATGGGATGAACAGGCGCTTGGATTTTCGTCTACTTGTCTCAGTCTTTTGAAGATATATCTTCAGGGCTCTGACCGGACACAAGGATAGGTCTTCTTTTTCCTCTGGTCCAAGGATTGTAGATAGCGCTGGTACGTGGAACTGTCTATCTGGCTGACAAGGTAGTTGGTTCTTGGCAATGAAGTCCCATCTAAGTCCAAGATGAACTGCAGCATGTTGCCCCGTGTCGAATCTGGTTCGACCAAAGTCCAGCGCATGTATCTCTGATATTCGAGCTGCCGTGGCTAGCGCAAGCAGGAACAGAGTCTTCTGTGTCAGCAACTCGAAGGTAGTCTGGTCTAGAGGTTCGTAGGCATCACTCGTAAGATGATGTAGAATTACATTCAGATCCCAGGCCGGAGCTCTGAACTTCTTTTTTTTTTTGCTGGTCGTCCAGTTTAAAAGATCTCAGCAGAGCAAGTAATTCTGGTACTTTCGTCAACTTGATGCCTGTTTTCATAGTAATCACTGTACTGATGGCAGCGAGGTATGTAGATAATGTCTAACCTTTCAGATATCTAGTCTGTCTAAGATGACACAGGTATTCTGCCACTTGAGGATGAGTAGCTTTCATCGCAATGAAGCCTTTCCACCTTGCATAAATCTCAATATTCAACCACTAGTCATCATACAGGTTACGAGTAGATCTGCGTTACGTTAGCGTTACATGTTTTGATACGGTCCACACGTGTAGCTGGAACAGTGTCGGTTTCCGTGGACTTGCTTGATGTGCGGATGTATGAGTAGGTTCGGCCAATCTGGTAACTTGATTGTTGGACTTCCGAGATCTTCTATTAGGTCTAGGAACCATACCTGCTGGCCAGTATGGCGCGACCAAAGTCAGTTGTAGCGCCTGTGTCTGTTTGATCTTCAACAGTACCTTCGGTAGTAATATCGGGGGTGGAAACGCGTAAGCCTTTAGTCCTTCCCAAGATGTGCTCAGTGCATCTGTTGCCAAGACTTGAGGATCTGGAACTGGTGAGACAAACGTCTGTAGTTGCTTGTTGAACCTTCTTGATTTCGGATGTATGGGGATGTGTAGATACGCATCCTGCAGGTCTATGCTGGCCATGTAATCTGCTGGACGGACGAGTAGTCTGAGTTGAGGTAGGTGGATCATTCTGAACCTGTCTGGTTTCAGTAGATAGTCTTTGTTGAATTTGAGCATGTTGTAAATCAGTCTGAACTTCTCCTTGCAGTTCTTCTTGGGTATTAGAAAAATTGGGGAGTAGAAGCCTGGAGTGAGATGATGCTGATCTATTATCTCTACCGCCTCCTTCATAAGTAGTGAGTTGATGGCTTCTTGTAGTTTGTCTGCCTGCTCCTCTGCATAGTCGAAGACCATCGGGTTGAGGGTTAGCGGAGGTGTGGGCTTGAGTTGTACTCTGTATCCTTCTCGCAGTACTTGGGAGACGTAGTCATCCTCTAGTATTCCCCTATTTTTCCAGTACCTTTGTAGATGTCCACCCACTGTCGATGGTTTTACAGGAACGGCTGGGGGTGGAAGACTCCAATCGTTCCGAACCCCGATATCAAGGTCTAGTTCAGTGTTCACGAATAGCGCCTGACCCTCTGACAAATCTGGCAGATTCGCCAACGGTCAGACAGAAGTCTACAACCCGCCGGCCCCAGTGTCTGTCTGTATATTTCACAATGACTTTGACTGAAGTTGTTTTATGTGACATGTGACACTTGTTTGCTGTTTATAAATCTTATGTTTGTTAATAATTTCAATGTCAATTATAAGAAATATTAAATCTGAAATGTGTGTTTAATTTTATTCCATGGGTCCTGTGCATTTTCAATGGGTCAGACAGACATCTGAAACTTACAAGACCCAATGTCCTGTGACTTTGAAACACCATTCGTGAACACTGCTAGTTCCTCCAGATCCTTGGGAGAGTTACCTCTGTAATTTCCGGATGGGCGACGAAAAGACCCTTTGCCACCTCTGCCTTCTGTATGCCGGAATATTTGGACTTGCCGTTATACTTTGGCGAAGTATGACGGATGACGTTGGCCAGAGTATCTATGGATTTTATCATCATGACTTATCTAGAGTCGTGTGTAGCTTCCTTAGCTGCATCGTCTATTTGTCCTCCAAAGATAGTAGGCGACTCCCATGGAGCTCTAAGTAGTGGTTGGGTGAATTTGTCACTCCCAAGAACAGGATGCAAGTAGCCCTTGTCTGCGTAGCAAAGTGAGACCTGCAGATATAGATGCCAGATGGTCCGATAAAAAGTATTGGTCCTTCTGAGTTATGACCGCTGAATATATCATATATTCTATACTCTTCCGAACTTGGGTTCTGGAATTTATTGATCAATGCTTCATTGATAGCTCTGGACCTGGCCAACCCGAAGAAGGATCTCCTTGTAGCAGTATCAAGTTGAGATAACTTTTTATCTTCCACTTTATACATCTTGTTCCTGGAGTCGTTGACTAACTTCATGTTATCATCCCATTCAGGCGCCTTTATAAATGGATCCATATGATGTAAGGGGAATCTCTTCACATTAAATGATGGCAGATGCTGACTCTGGTACTTGGATGCTTTCGCGAAAGCTGTGCGTAGGTTAGAGGGTACCTTGGATATAGCTTCAATTGGAGGGATAGTGACGGAGTCAAAGTCGTCGTTACGCATCACATAAGTGTAGACTTCATCTTTATCCTTAGGAGACTCCATGTTCAACCCGTTGGCAATCCAAGCTGAAGCCTCTGCGTCTGGGAAGACGAAGTCTGCTTGCTCATCCAGTATCTCCTGATTATTAGAGCTAGGCCTCCGCATATCATCCATCTGCGAACCTGTATCCCTTCTTGAACCTTCATCATCCTTTCGCGATCCTCTGTCTGCAGATTCCTCCCTACGTGAACGTCTATCTTGAGAGTCCTCTCTTCGCGAACCTCTATCTGTAGATTCATCTCTTCGCGAACCTCTGTGATGTGAGCTTTCTCTTCGCAAACGTCTGTCGCTAGATGTATCCCTTCGCGAACTTCTGTGATGCGAGCCTTCTCTTCGCGAACCTCTGTCTTGTGATGAGTGACTTCGCGAACGTCTGTGAGAGATATGAGATCTCGATCTAGAGCGGCTAGGTGTAGGAGATGGATCCTTCGATGTTCTCGAACGTTGAGGGTTTGCAGATGTAGAACGGTGAGTAGGCATCTCATCTCTTCTATCCTCTTCCAAGATGACAGAGTCGTCCGACTGGAGACCTTCGCAAAGGTGTACGTTCGCCAACGTAGTCTTGAGACGTAGTTCTATGAGGAGTAGGTTCGCGCAGATCTGTAGGTTTGCGCACGATGCCGGTAGATGAGAGGCTTTGCCGAGCCTTTGCTTCTTCCTCAAACCTACGTTCCATCATGGCCATCATCTGGTTGGTGAATTGTCTCATAAATTCACCCGGATCAAAGTTGTGTGTTGGTTGAAGCTGCTGCGGTGTAGAAGAAGCGTTCGCGAACGCTTATGAGTTCTGTGCCTCGAGGTGCGTTGAGGTGAGGTGAAATTTGGTTTAACGTTGCGCTGGAGAATATTTCGCTCATATGACGACGTGCATGCGTGTGTATGTGTATGTGCGGATGCT